TCCCTCCAGAGGTTTTTTTTTTAAACTTTATTTACAAGAGTTAAGTATCAAAAAGTCAAAGAAAAATATTAATGAGTGAATACGAATGGATTAATTCAAGATAAACAAATTTAATGCATTGTGATTAACATTAAACGATAAGAAAGTTTTGCATACAAGAAAGTACTGAACCAAAGCAAGAAAGATTACAAATGAAAATTGCAAATGAAACTAGAAATTGCTACGTTGATGAGACTAGTCTCTGTATGGACTTGTTGCTTCAGGCGAAGATTTGGCAGTCTTGACATTTACTGAGTCAAAGGAGACTTCAAATTTAACTGGCTGGCTCGAAATTGATAGCCTTTGCATCAAGCAAGTCTTGCACATTTTCTTTGAAAGCCCTGCAATCTTCAATGGAATGGCCTAGTGCCCCAGCGTGGTAATCACATTGCACATTAGGATTGAAATCCATAGGATAAGGAGGAATGACAAACTTTAGTGGTTTGGGTTCTACCAAGGAAAGCTTGAGAAACTGAGAGAACAGCTGGCCATAAGTCATGGGAACAATGTCGAATACCCTCTTTGGCTTCCTATCCCTTTGTTTATCTTGTTGCATATGTCTCTGTTGAAAGGTTTGCTGCTGAGAAGCACACCAAACTGGATGAACATTAGGAACATTCTGTTTTTGATTAACCAACTGATTTCGAGAATTTGTAAACGGCTACTGGTGAGAACTTTCTAGGATTACAGGTTGTGGATGACGTGACTCCGATCGTGAGATAGAACTTTGAAGAGGAGAAGGCGTAAGATTGACTTGCATGCTCAGACCTTCGAGAGTGAAGAGAATTGTCCCTGCATCAAGTAAATCTTGGACTTGGTGCTTAAAAGCTATGCAATCTTCAGTATCATGACCGAGTGCCCCAAAATGGAATTCACATCTAGCATTGTCGTCAAAGCTACGAGGGAGCCTTTCATGCGTAGTGAAGATTCAGAGTTTGACCAAATGAAATTCTAGCAAGGGAGGAAAAAATTGTGCATACAACATTGGAATATGATCAAATTGCCGTTCAGGTTGTTTTGGCCTCTGCTGACAGACTTTGCCCTTTGGGTCCTCTTGGAAAATGACAACTGGTTGTGGATGGGAAGATCCTGGAACACAAGGCGGTGGAGGAGATACTCCCTGACTTAAAAGAGTCCCCAGATTATAGGGAGGAATGGTAGCTCCTATTGTAGCAGGCATGGAAACATCCTCTTTCTTCCACATCGTCCCCAAAATTTCCATAACCAAATTCAATTGAGTCTTCAACTGAATGTTCTCTTCTTTCAGGAGTTCTTGTCCATGAACCAAATCTTGCGTGTCTAGCATCAAAAATCTCATCTTCTCTTTCATCTCGTCCAATTCCCCACGAAGTTGTTCCATATCTTGAATCTGATCACGGAGCGACGAGAAGTCGAGATTTGCAGCTCTGAAGGGAAAATACCGAGTCTAAATAAGGATTCCCCATTCTTAGTACCTTCTGAGTACCTGCTATGGATGCATGAAGATGCATGAAGATGATTGAGGTGAATGAGCGGATGCAATGCTATATTCAAACATCTTCTTTATACATACAATATTTCACATTTCCTCTTTTTTTTTTTGTAGAATAAACATGCTATGATGCAAGGTGCGATGAAATGGGTTCAAAAGTTCAGCATAGCAACTGTACAATCCTCTGGGTACTGTTGTATTAATCTGCTAAATAATCTGGATAACACAAGGTCAAAAGGTTCGACACCAATCTCAGAACACGATGGAACTGAGTGTCATGAATAAACATTATATAATCTCTAGCCAAGTGGAATAAATTAGGACCAAAGGTCCGAAACATAACCAAATAACATCCCGAATACCAAATCCAAAAACTTAGAAAATAAATCTGAGACCCACATAATCACCAATAGAACAACGGTCACCATCATAACATAATCATCATTTGTACCTGTAATAATCAAGTCCCTCCCTACTCACGGGTAAAGACTAGGTCAGGGTAGGTCAAAGGCAACTCAAAATCATGGGTCTGCCTGAAAGTACTACCGCCTTACCCACAAACATGGGTGTCGATAGAAATTCATTTGAACCTCATCCGAGCATGGTATATGACATGACTGCACTAATCGGACCATGTCCTATAGCTGTCATGCCCCCACTCTATTCCTAGTGTCCTAGTGCACTCTGGCCTTGATACCGGGCCTTTTACCTCAAAAGTAACACCCTCCCAACATGGAAAACCAGAATCCAGCATAATAGATAACCAATATGGAAAGCAATAAAATGCAATGCAAACTTATGCTCAGATAAACATGTACAAATGAATAAACTGAAAGTATAAAAACAAACACCTAAAGAAAAGAAAACAAGAGCTAGGATCGACTCCGAGATGGACCAACAATAGGTCAGTCCCGTTTCCCCAGTGAAGTCTCCAGCTGAAACAACTGGCTGAAAATCATCAAACAATGAAGTCGCCATCGAAAATTTTTTATCCCACAGGAAGGGAAAGGTAAACATCGAGAAAACCTGAGAAGGGAGAAGTCACGGTCTTGCGACCTAGAGATCGGGTAAGGGAGTCTATTACGCGAGGGGAAGGTATTAGCACCCCACACGCCCGTAGTACTCTACGGTATCCACTCTTGTTGTATATCTTATGGGTGTGTTTAATCTATGCTTATTATTTACTATACTACTGAAGGGAGAATGCATGCAAAAGAAAAGGAGAAAAGAATGTAGGGAAAATAAAAGTTGTGCTCGTTCGGGCCCTACCCCGATGCCTACGTATCCATTTTAAGGAATCAGAGCAGTCGTAGTTCGGCTTCAAATGTTTTTGTTGGTTTGTATTTTTTAACGAACAATATTAATTTCGCCTTTTGCCGCAACTCGACCTTTTGGAGATTTACGCGTCAGCACAGAAGTGAATTAACATGCTTTTCCTGAAAAGAGTTTGAAAGAAAAGCCCGAAGGCGCAAAAGAGATTGCATTGGTTGATATTTTTTACCTTGAAGAAGGATTTGGAAGTTGTTAGATGTTTTAATATTTTTCAAAGAAAAAGGAAGTTTTTGTTTTAATGCATGGATGCAAAAGAAAGAAAAATCATCTAAGGGAGACTAACCTAGATCTATCCCTAATGTTATCATACAATGATGGTCCTATGGTTGAGTTTTGAAGGAAAATATCTACCCTATGTTGACATGCTTAGATACAATCCTAATGTCTATCTAAAATCATCATCTATAGATGAATAAAGAAGTCCTAAAGGAGCATAGCAAGGGTCTATCACCTAAAACTATGTCTATCTCAAATCATCATCTATAGTTGAATCGAGAGCTCCTAAGGGAACATGTTAAGGGTATGTTATCTCAAAACATGCACACAAAGATAAAATCAAACAGGTAAGCCAATAAGCTCAAAAGAGCACATCTAGAGAGATCCTATCTAGACTACCATTACCTAAGAAATTCTAACAAAATTATCCTATAGGGAACATGCAATTAGAGCGAAGTCATGATCTCAATTTCTAAATTGAGTGACTCATCGATCAACAAGAAACAAAGGAAAGCAATGAAATCCTATAGGAAGCATGCACTGAGAGCGAAGTCGTGATCTCAATTTCTAAATTGAGTGACTCATCGATCAACAAGAAAGTAAACAAACACAAGCATAACACATACAGTAAATGAAGTGCGGAATGCCTGCTACAGGTCTTTAAACAGCGACTTCGAGCACACGCTCTTTATTTCCGGCTTCTCATGATATCTAGAAAGCAATAAAGTGCGAAAATGAGCTAAACAAGAGAAAATAGAAAACAGATATCAAACCGTAGCAAAGCCTATCAAAAAAAGAAACCTGACGATCTTCGAGAAAGCTTCACCAACCAAAGAAAAGAGTTAGAAATCAAACGCTCGGAATAAATGTCGCAGCATCATCGATGTGAAAATAAATCACAATCAAAATCTCAAGCACATCTGCATATCACACAATAAACCTGCATAAGACTCAAATCTCAACAAGCAAAGGTGAATCATAAATCTCGAGTAATCGGATAATCAGAATTTAATTTCCTAAAATCAAAACAAAAAAATCTAACAACTTTTTATTGATTTTATTATTTTTTATCATGTAAAGAAAAGGTTCAAGCAAATCTAAACAATTCACAAAATTAATTAAAAGAGAATACTAAAAGAATAAATCCAGGGGGTGCAAGTTAAATCTAGTGCTATAGTGCAGTAAACACAAGTGACACTAGGTCCATCAAGAATAAGGTCCATTAAGCATTTTTGTTGATCAACTTTTGTTTCCAAAAAAACGCATTAATGGACTCTGGATGTCTCGGTCCATACCCCAACCCAACATCCATCAGCATTTCAATTATTTCAACATATTGTTTGCTATTACAAAGAAATAAATAAAAAATCCAAATGAAAAGTAAAAATAAAAACGTATGGATTAGGGTAAAGAAGAAGTGACCATTAGAATACTCCTTCGATAGCCTTCTTCTTCTTCAACCATAACACACGACATCGCATTTCATTCCTCCTTCGGCAATCTCCGTCTCTGTTATCATCTAAAGTTATCTACCTCCGCCTCAATCGAATATGCGGTCGCTCCGACCTTTCGTCCCTTTCTTCACCGATTGCGCTTTGTCTCCACTCACCGTTTTTCTTCATCATTTCTGATGAAATCCACACAGCGCCGCCATCATAGAATGAATGAAATCGCCATCCTCCGCTGTGAATCCTCTCTACCATTCGTCTCTTTCTCCGTCTCAATCCTTTCTACGGTTCTTTCTGATTTCAGTCTCAATCGCCCTCGACCTCATTCCATATCTGTTGGAGTCGCTCTGGCGGCTTTTCGATCATAGTGACAAAGAGAGAACTAGAATTTAAGAAATCCAAGTAAAATTTGATTCGCACCTTCTTCCTTCCGTTTATGGTTTCTTCTTCACGTTTGTGCGATTCAGAATTTGTTTATGCATTTTTGTTGATTGCTATTGATGAGAGAAGTTGTTATGATGTTGCAAATTCGACGAAGTCAGTGCGAGGAAGATGATGAATAGATGCATATAGGATTTGCGGAAGTCGTAATGGTGATGGTGATGAAGGATGAAGGTTGAGGATGCTATGCTGAAGCGAGGTGATGAAGAAGAGGCAGGGTTGATGGGGAATTGTTGATGAAGATTTATGGTGCTGGAGATCTTGATGATGCAACTGATGAGTTGAAAATAAAGGTTCAGAAGGTGATGAAGTTGCTGAAGTAGGACGTTGTTGCGGATGCAGGGAGTTATGGTGTTGAAGATCTCAGAGAAAGATGAAGATGTACAGTGGAGAGTTTGTGGTTCTTCCATGAAGATTGATGGAAGAAGATGAAGATGAAGGTGAGAGAAAATGGAGATTGAAGAGGGAGAGTTTTCTGTGTTTTTTTCTTCTGTGGACTTTCTGAATGAAATCCCCCCCTCCAGAATCAAGGTGAGCAATTCTCTTTTGTACCTCTGTTTGTCTGTTAGAGCTAAATTAATCTGAACCCTTGGTTTTGAGAGACTTAGTTAGTGAATGAATGGTGAGATGAGAGTTGGTTACACAGGTTTTCGATTCAGTTAGCAATCTGTTAACACTCATGAATTCTGTTGGAAACTGGTGAACTGTAAAACTGTTTCCTCATTTTCTGATATATTTTTCCTGTGAAATATCTGATACCCTTTATCTTTCCTCTACATTTCCTACTGAACCGAAAACTGAATTTCTGTTTTTCTGTTATATGAATAAACCGGGTTTGGAATTGGTTATTCATTACATTTTTTTATTTTTTTGATTTTATACTTTCTAAACATTTCTTGAATTGGATAATGGATGCTTCAAATATTGCACTTTTCTTAGCTCGGGCTGTGATTGATGATATGCTTTCCCTATTGAACTTGGATGAAACTAGTAATAGGCTACCACCAAAAGCAGGGGTACAACTCGAACACTTGTTTATGCTCGCCACACAGGTGAAAGGCTATTGAAATGCTTGAATGTAAACTGGCTTATTCTTGCATTTATGTAGGTCTATGGTGAATCAATGCCAAGGTTATAATTTAATTATCATAACTTGAAAGGCATGGCTAATTGAAAATGGCAATATGTTTGAAGAGGAATAGCATGAAGCAACTCGAGGGAATTGAAGTTAACTCAGGAAAAATAGGTTTAGGATAGATTTTATTATGGCTTTTGATGTAATATATTCATGAATTGGATTGAAATTGTCACATTTTATATGGAATTTTGAATGGTTGAAAGTGTATGTGTTCTAGTTCTCGATTTCGTAATAGCCATGGTTGAATCAAGAAAAAAGACTTTGAATTAATTCACTTATCTTTGAGTTTCTTCTCTTGTACTCACGTCTTCTCAACATGTATCTTGAATGAATCATGATCTCTCCCTTAACCTCAAGTATACAATCTTCTTTTTGTACCTCAAACATAATCCAAATTCTAAGCAATGCGAATTGATGAATCACTTGTATTATGAGTACATGAAAACCAGGAAATTTATCCACATGTCTTGTAACATCTCTTGCATATATCTTGTTCTTCAATCAAGTTAAGTGATTTATCCTTGAATCACATTAAAAATTTCTATTCCATGTTCATCTTAAATCAATCCTCAATGCAACTCAAGCATTCATGACAAGTTGAATCTCAGTTGACTTCAAATGGCGTGCTTGATCAATGAACCTATAAACTCAGAATTGAATCTCAACTCCTGAATGCTTTATATACTAAACCCATAGTTAACTAGAAAAGAAACTTTGAAACATGATACACAGATCTCTAATTGATGAAGTAAGGAATAAATGATTCCATCATTTCAATGCCCTAACCAACCTCTGGAGCTTCAACAACGAATGTACCTTTGGATTCTGAAAGATAAAACCTCGATGGAATAAATACTCTTGTTGAAACCCTTATCCCACAAAATAGGAGCGGATGATTCATAAAAGTATCTATGCTAAATCCCACACCCTTTTCAATAGAACCAAATGCTCATAACTTAAGAGAAAGCTTCAGATGAAATTCAAGCTTTTGTAAGAAGATCCAAGAGGTAATGTCAGAACTTGTAGCACAAGTAATTGATGGAGATCTTTAATTCTGAATGAGAGAGACTCGAGATAGCCATAAGATGAAACCCTAAACCATGATCCTTGAAGAAGAAACCTCAACCAAACGTAGTAGCTGAAAAACCCTGACCTTGGCCGCACATAGGGAAGTAAACCCTAATGGACTTATCTCTTAAGGAAAAAAAGTTCGAGGTAACCACACGACACAACCCTAATTCCAAACTTCACTTCTTGCAGAACAATCAGAAGAGTTAAAGGTAATCAACTTTATCAGGCGTATACACCTTAGTAATTGTGAAACCCTGATATCGCACAACTGAACATTGACCCCATGTGTTTTATTGAAATGCAAAATGTATGCTATGTTAGTGACCTAATGAAAAGATGCAGATGAATGCAAAGATCTAAGCCAAATAAAAGAAATTAGGAGGGCAAATTTTGGGGTGCAACACAAAGATATAAAGATATAACAATATCCTCTAAAATATATTCCTAAAATATAGATTAATCTAACATTATCGCCATGCGAATTGTGAAAGGAGCATGTATATATGAGTATAGTTTTGAGGCCATTTAACTTAACTTTTCTTTTTTTAAATTTGTCTATTTTGAAATTTTAAATCTTAACATTATTATCTTTTATGTTGATTGGTTAAATTCATTTTGTTTATCTTTTTAAAAGATTAGTTTTTTTAGTTGATGAATAAACTGTCCATCTTTGTTTTCATGTGTTCTTATTAGAAATTATTCATGTTTGTTAAATTGTAATTCAGTGTGTCAAAACTATGTGTCGAAAAGATTTGATTTGTTTTAGATTTAAATAGATTTGATTTAAGTCTAGAATAAATTAGATTTGATTTAGTAACAAAAAGATATTTTGGGCTTTGGGCTTAGAGTGTAAGCTCAATTATAAATAGAGGGAGTAACCTCTATTTTTGTAAGCAAGTCAAGCAAGTTGTATTCACAGAATTTGCAGTTGCAAGTGAATAACAAAGTTTTCACAGTTTGTGAGCAGAGAGAAACTCTGCAGAAATTATTTGTCTTGTCTTCTTTTCTTTGTTTGTCTCATAATTAAATTGTCATTATGGTATAAATTCATCATAGAATTTGGTGGATTTCCAACATCTGGTATCAAGAGCTCGGTTAATCGATTAGAGGGAAGTGTCAATCAAGAACGATTGAAGAATTCACAATGATAAGTTATGGGAATGCAAACTATCCAGCAACCCTACCAATTCTGAAAGTTGACAACTATGAGAATTGATGCAAACAGATGAAAGTCTTATTCAGGTGTCAAGGTCTTTGGGACCTTGTAAAAGATGGAGTCGAAGCGCTTAGAGAAAACACTTCAGAAGAAGAAAAGAAGAAATACAAAGAATCTGAGAAGCTGAGTTATAAAGCATTATTTATAATTCATCAAAGTGTCAGCCCAGACAATTTCGAAAAGGTTGGTGATTCAGAATGTGCAAAAGAAGCTTGGGAGATACTTGAGAAGTCTTTTGGATGCACTGAGAAGGTGAAAGAAGTGAGGTTACAAACTCACAAAAGGACGTATGAATTGCTTCAGATGGAAGAAAATGAAAGCATATCTGATTTCTTCACTAGAGTTACAAAACTAGTAAATCAAATCAAGATATGTGGAGAAGCGTTAACAACAAGAGTTGTTGTTTCGAAGATCTTGAGATCTTTAGCTCCTAAGTTCGACCACATAGTGGCGGCGATAGAAGAGGGGAAAGACTTGTTGAAATTGGTAAAGGAAGAGCTTCAAGGGATGCTTCAATCTCATGAACAAAGAAAATGAAAGAGCTGCAGGCAAATTGAAGAGTGATGTGGCCTTGCAGACACATTCAGCAAAAGAAACCAAAGGCAAAGGAAAATGTTTCGACAGAGGTAGAGGTGGCTACAACAAATCGAATGGTAAAGGAAACCAGATCGAAGGAAATGTGTCGAATCAAAGAAGACCATACCAAGGCAACCAAAGAGGTGGTGTTGCAAATAGAGGAAGAGGTGGTGGTCAAAAACCTGATAAGAGTCACATTCAATGTTACAATTGTCAGAAGTATGGACACTATGCGAGTGATTGTCCAGAAAAACGAAAGAATCAAGAAAGTGATGCAAAACTTGCAAAACATGAAGAAGAAGAGATAATGCTGATGGTCGTAACAAGAGACGAAGATAGATTCAAGGACCAATGGTACTTGGACTCAGGATGCTCACCACATATGTCTGGAAGGAAAGACTGGTTTGTCAATATAAAGCCCTCAATGAAAAATATGGTAAAATTTGCAAATGACAATACCTTAGCAGCTGAAGGTATTGGTGATGTTATGATTATGAGGAAAGATGGAAAGAGGTCAGTAATTTCCAATGTATTGTACATACCAGGCATGAAGAGAAATTTGCTCAGTATAAGGAAGTTGGTTGAAAAGAATTATAAAGTGTCAATCGAAGATAAGATGATGAGAGTCGTTGATTAAAATGGGAGATTAATCTTGAAGGATCCTATGTCTCAGAATCGAACCTTCAAGATTGAACTAAATGTGATGGAGCACAAGTGCCTTTCGACTGCAGCTAGCAGAGATGAATGGATATGGCATTATAGACTAGGCCATCTCAACTTCAGAGACATCAGAGATTTGAAGAGAAGAAATATGGTTTTAGGATTGCCAGAAATCGACATTCCAAACGAGGTATGTGAGGAATGTGTGCAGGCGAAGCAACACAAGAATAGATTCAGCAAGGATGCATGAAGCAGGTCGAAGGCTAGTCTTGAAGTCATATACTCTGATGTATGTGGACCAATCTAAGTGGATTCTATGGGAGATAACAAATACTTTGTTATATTCATAGATGATTTCAGTCGAAAGTTGTGGAGTTATCTGATCAAGAAGAAAAGTGAAGTGATCGAAGTATTTGCCAAGTTTAAGTCTATGGTCGAAAGACAGAGTGGTCAAAAGCTCAAAGTTTTTAGAACTGATGGTGGTGGAGAATATGTGTCAAAAGACTTCGACAGGCTATGTGAAAAGGAAGGGATTGTGCATGAGGTGGTGCCACCCTATACTCCACAACAAAATGGAATTGCAGAAAGTAAGAATCGAACCATCATGAATATGGTATGAAGTATGTTTAAAGGCAAGAATTTACCTAAAGAATTTTGGGGTGAAGCTGTTTCAACTGCAACATATATTTTGAACAGATGTCCTACAAAGAAGCTAGAAGGAATTACTCCAGAAGAATGTTGGTCTGGTGTGAAGCCTAGCTTGAGTCATCTGAAGGTATTTGGATCTATTGCATATAGACATGTGCCAGATCAGTTGAAAAGAAAACTTGATGATAAGTCAAGTAAAATGATTCTAGTTGGATATCATTCGACAGGAGGCTACAAGTTGTTCGATCCAGAGAACAAGAATATTGTGATCAACAGGGACGTGATCATAGATGAGTTTAAAGAATGGGATTGGACTGAAAATATTAAGAAAGATTCAGTGGGAATCCTATTCGAAGAGCCAGAAACTCAAGTCGAAAGAGAAGTTCGACAAGAGGAACCAACAGATATACCAAGTACAAGCAGAACTCAAAGAACAAGACGCATGCCTGCAAGATTGCAAGATTGTGTGATTATATCAGATGATGTGATAGATGATGAAGGTGAGCTGGTATATTATGCTTTCTATGCAGATGTCGAACCCGTTAATGCAGCTGAAGCATTGAAGGATTTGAAGTGGGTGAAAGCAATGAATGAAGAAGTGAAGTCTATCGAAGACAACAACACTTGGTCACTTGTCGAATTGCCTCAAGGAAAGAAGGAAATTGATGTCAAGTGGGTATACAAAGTGAAAATGAATTCGAAAGGTGAAGTAACTCGACACAAAACATGGCTTGTGGCGAAAGGATTTCTACAGAAAGAAGGAATAGACTTCGATGAATTTTTTGCACCTGTTGTTAGGATCAAAACAATCAGGTTGGTTGTTGGTCTAGCAGAAATAAATAGTTGACATATATGTCAGATGGACGTTAAGTGTGAATTCCTAAATGGACCCTTAGAAGAAGAAGTTTATGTTAAACAATCAATTGGGTTTGTGAAACATGATGAAGAAAGAAAGGTGTACAGGCTGCATAAAGCCTTGTATGGATCGAAACAAGCTCCAAGAGCTTGGAATAAGAAAATTGATAGTTTTCTAAGGGAGAAGGAATTTGTAAAGTGCACAACTGAACATGGAGTATATGTAAGAAGAAGCAATAGTGAATTGCTTATACTGTGTTTCTATGTAGATGATTTGTTGATAACAGGTAGCTGTAAAAGTGAGATCGAAGACTTCAAAGGTGATCTCAGCAAGGAATTCGAAATGTCTGATTTGGGTGAGATTTCATATTTCCTTGGCATCGAATTCTACAAGAGAAATAGAGGTTTGATGATGCATCAAAGAAGATATGCAGGAGAAATTCTCAAGAGATTTGAGATGGAAGAATGTAACCCAACTTCGACACCTGTAGAACCAAGACTGCAACTGTCAAAAGATGCAGATGAAGATGATGTTGATCCAATCCAATACAGAAGACTTATTGGATCATTAAGATATCTTTGTCATACAATGCTTGACTTAGCATACAATGTAGGTATGGTAAGTAGATTCATGTAGAAGCCAAAGGTATCACATCTAGCAGCAGTGAAGAGGATACTAAGGTATCTCAAAGGAACCTTCGATTATGGCATTTTGTTTCCTACAACTGATAAAGGAAAAGAATGCAAGTTAGTGGGATACACTGATTCGAGTTGGTGTAGTGATGCTGAAGATCGAAAGTCAACAACAGGATATGTGTCGATGCTAGGTGGTGCACCAGTTTCTTGGAATTCAAGAAAGGAACCAGTAGTGGCATTATCATCATGCAAAGCAGAATACATAGTTGCTTCTCTTTGTGCATGTCAAGCAACTTGGATGGTGAACTTGGTCGAAGAGATAACAGGGAAAGATTATGGAGCAATTACCATGAAGATCGACAGCATGTCAGCTATCAATCTGGCGAAGAACCCAATAGCACATGGTCGAAGTAAGCACATCGAAATGAGGTTCCATTATCTTCGAGAGCAGGTAGCAGATAGGAAGATGAATTTGGAATACTGCAGAGCTGAGAATCAGATTGCAGACATCATGACGAAGGGAGTGCAAGTCAAAGTATTCAGAAGACTAAGAACCATGATGTACATAGATAGTTTAGACACAATGAATTAGGTGGTGTGTTAAATTGTAATCCAGTGTGTCGAAATTATGTGCCGAAAAGATTTGATTTGTTTTAGATTTAAATAGATTTGATTTAGATTTAAATAGATTTGATTTAAGTCTAGAATAAATTAGATTTGATTTAGTAACAAAAAGATATTTTGGGTTTTGGACTTAGAGTGTAAGCTCAGTTATAAATAGAGGGAGTAACCCCTATTTTTGTAAGCAAGTCAAGCAAGTTGTATTCACAGAATTTGCAGTTACAAGTGAATAACAAAGTTTTCACAGTTTGTGGGCAGAGAGAAACTCTGCAAAAATTATTTGTCTTGTCTTCTTTTCTTTGTTTGTCTCATAATTAAATTATCATTGTGGTAGAAATTCATCATAGAATTTGGTGGATTTCCAACAATATTCACCGTGTTTTTCTTACTAGAAATCCAGTTCAAAAAATTATTTATCTTAAACAGAACTCAAAAGGATGTCTATGACATAGGATGTGTTTTCTCTGATGTAAATTCTTCGAAAGATATCTTTGATACAATATAATGTAAAGATGGAAAGGATCTTGTTAGATTCTTAGCTATTATTTATATTTATATTGTATTGTTCAATGTGTAGGGGTGTGATTGTACTGGTGGATAGCCAAAATCAAAATAAGGCAGTGTCAATAATTTTAGAAAGATAGTTGGTTCGGGTTATTCTATTTACTCTTAAGCAATTATGGTTGGACATACTAGAGAAACCATCTAAGTCTGTATAAACTGTGCTCCACCTAAATTTGTCATTTGATACATTCTGATGTAATTTGCTAATAATATTTTGTATACTGTCATTAATTTTGAGAAACATCATATTTATGTTTGTTATTTTTTATCAATGAATGATGAGAGGATAAGATAATATCCACGGGATAGGAAGTGGATTTGATTTGAGATGAAACTTTTCATCTGGATTTATTTATTTTCAAGAGAAGCTAACGATTGCAGAGAACAAACAACAGAAACTAATTTGATCCATTATGTTTTGATAGGATACTTCTGCATAATGGTGTTATATAATAGTATTTAAAATTGTTTAGTTAAATTGTAAACTAAGCATTCACTTTAAGTGATTAAATAAAGCTAAGCCTTCTTCCATGCGTCTTTTTTGTGCATCTATATGTAGCAAATAAGAGGATTTGTACACAGTGGGATGTAAAGGAATCTTCATTAGTTTCTGGCTATCTGTAGCAAATAAGAGGATTATTGCTTCGAAATACACAATTATACAGTTAAGTTCAAAAAAATTGGTTTAAATTATGATTAATAGTTATTGATAGAAAATTGCTTTAATTGGTTTCAGGTAGTATATAATTTTTATATTAATATGGTCGTTTTTTATTCTGATAGAAACAATTGGTTTAACAATATATTATATTATATTAAGGAGAATATTTAAATACAATTTTATAAGTGTGATTTATACTTTTCTCCGATAAAAATATAATAAATATATTTTAAATATCTTTTATAAAAATAAAAGTAGGAGAAAAAAATTAAATATTTATCATATTTTTATTTAAAAAAATATAAATCACATCTAAAAAATTATATCTAATTTTTTTTTATTAATCATGATTAAAGTAATTTATGATGATTGATTATATAAAAAGATTACAAAATATATTTTATAAATTAATAAAGTAATTTAAGAAGAAATCAATTAAAGAAAAAAGAAGATAGAAAAGGCAATCATAAATAATTTATGTAGAAAGATTACAAAATATTTTTTATAAGTTAATAAATTAATTTAGGATTAAATATGTTTTTATGGTCAATAAAATTGAGATATTTATAAAGACAAAAAAAAATATTTAATTCAATAATTTATAAAAAATTAATTAAAATAAATAAAAAAATAACCGTAAAAGAAAGAGAAATTGAATAAGTAATTGGAGAGAGATGATTATTTATGTGTTATTATAGACCTATTAATATGTGATTTGATCCAAAGAGATTAAATATATATAAATGTTGTTAGTATAATTTAATAATTATTTTTTCTTGATTTTCATATCAACTTATAGTTGAATATTATAAAATGAAGCAATAAATCATTACTGTTATTTGCCTCAAATCTGAATGTGAAGAATGAGCAAAGTCTGGTGGGTGCATTTGATATACAAATTTATTCAACCTTTTAACTCCAATAATTACACTAATAATTATATTCTTTTTTAATCTTTTTTTATTTTAATTTAATGATTATTAAAAGAACTCTTAATGGCTCACATTATTTTTACTAAAAATATTTTCTTTCAATGAATAATTTATTTGTTACCATGAATGATCTATTTAATATATATATATATATATATATATATATATATATATATATATATTATATATATAATATATATATATATATATATATAATATATATATATATATATATATATATATATATATATATATATATATAATATTATATATAATATATATATATATATATATATATATATATATATATAATATATATATATATATATATATATATATATATATAATATTTTTTATTTTTAATTATATTATTCACAATTGTTTACATTTAATCTGCATCAATAATTTTTAATTTAAATTTATTAATATATTTTAGTTTTTTTATTTTAAATTTATAAAAGTCACAACTATCAACGAAAAAAATATATTTTTTTTGTAAAATATTTAAATTTTGATGTTTTTTTTAGATTTGTTATCTAATTATGAAAATTATGATAAATTTTGATATTTGTAGTAAGTCAAGACAATAAAAGAAACATAAGTATTGTTTACTTTTAATGTGAAAAAAGTTTATTATTGATATAGTAATATTATTGATTACTCTATTCATATGTAAATAATATTGAAATGAATTATTAAACTGTCTTTAAGAGTTGAACAAGAAACAAATCTCATGTATAAATTTATTACTTTTTATGAAACATTTCATTTAGTAATAATTGATACATTTGTTTCTGGTCGTTTAAAAATAAATAAATTACCAGAAAAAAATTTATCATTGATAAATATTAAAAAAAATTAAAAAATTTTATAAAAAAGGTTTTTATTTTTAATATATATAAAACAAAGTTACTCAGGATAACTTTAAAAATAATAGAACATATATTTCACTATGTATTACATACTAATAAATATTAACTATGAATTATATATTATTGTTTTAATAATATTAATAATTGCTAAATATTAAACTCTCATTTTTCATATAACAAAAGACAAGAGAAACATAAATTAGAGCATAAAATAAAATTGTTTTTCAAGCTATAAAGAATTATTTTTTCTTGGTTTCTTTCTTGTAAGTTTTGCCTTTACTCCTACCACGGGATCTTTAGCAAGAAGCATCAAATATTTTGATATTTCAAGATCACTAAGACGTAACTTCATCGAATTTTGAAATTGTTTATATGAATCTTTCAATTCTGAAAGTTCAGAGAGTTTTTTCAGATCATTTTTCTTCAAAATCTCATCATGTTTCTCAGCTTGTTTTTCACTTTCTCGAATTTGGGCTAATATCTCAGTAAGCTCTTGATTCAAGTTTTCTATATTCGAAACATCAAAAGAGGCGTTTCCTTGAGAATCATTTGGTATATTTATATTCTCTTGTTGGAGATAGTTGGCTGCAACAACATCAACTCCTGGATGACCAAAAGAATATGGTTTGTTACCTGGAGAAAACACAACAATCGCCACTTCTGCTCCACACAAAATTGACAATTCATTCGCTTTTTTGAATAAGCCTGTTCGACGCTTCGAGAAAGTGACTTGTCTTGTGTTGGGATCTTTCACCATCTAAATCTCAATTTTGCGACGACCCATGATCGTTTCACAGAACTTACCTACTAAAATAGAGAACGCGAGTTTAGAAATAAAGAGCGATAATAAAGATTGTGTGTGCATATGTTACCCTTGTGTCCCTATTTATGTAGGAGGACTAGTGAAAAATTCATTGTTCCTAATATTAAATTTAAATCAATTATCAATATTATTTTTATTAATATACAAATGTTTTATTGTTATTCTAATTTTGCAAAATTTCACCTAAATGTTTTCGATTTTTAGTTATTTATATATTTTTTATTCATTTGTACTAATACTAAAAATGCAGACATATTGAATTACTGGAAAAAAAAATTATAAATCATATATTTATTTTATGTTAATATATTAATATGACAAATATAGAACACACACTTAGCGTCAATTTATATTTTTTTTATACTGATTTAAATAATTAATTATATTTAACTATTTTTTTATGTAAATAATTAATTTTATTTAATTATTTTTTCAAATTTAAATCAAACTGCTTTTGAGATAAATTAAATTTAATAACAATTAGATTGATTTTTTTCTTCAAGAAAAAGAGAGTCCCAGGAGCTTAAAAATACTTGTAGGATGTTAGTCTACAATATTAATTTTTACCAAAAATATTTATAGATTAAAAAGAAAATATTGCAATTGAAATCCGTTCTATCATTAAATTAGACTTATACATATTTATAATTTTAATATTAATTATTAAAATTGAGAAAAAAAAAGTATTGTTATAGGAATCTGCTCTACCATCTAAATTAGATTTATATGCATTTGTAATTTAAGTATTAATATTAAAATTGTTTAAATTTAATATTTAAACAATTTTAATATTAATATTTAAATTATAAATGCATATAAATAACCAATTTTAATATTAAATATTTAAATTACAAATACATATAAATCTAATTTAGATGGTAGAGCAGATTCCTACAACAATACTTTTTTAATATTTAATTTTTAAAATTGCTTTTGTTTTATTTCTCTTTTGAAAAGTAAAAGTATAATTAATAACAAAGAAAAGAATTCAAACAAAATAATATTATTAAAATTAAGTTTTACATTCATAAAACAAACACCTTTTAAAAAGTTGTGTGGTATAAAAATTTAAATATATGCTGAGGGTGAACCAATAAACCTTTGTTAGCATTAGTTAACCAATTATATATATATATATATATATATATATATATATATATATATATATATATATATATATATATATATATATATATATATATATATATCTATATATATATATATATATATATATA